CCCCCGCCTAAACGGCGGCGACAGCTAGGGTCGCCATCCGTGCATTCCATCGGCTCCGACCGACCCGAGCTTCAGCTTTGGTCGCCTGTGTCCGTTGCCAGTTCCCACCGCCCGGCGGAGCACTTTTCGGAGCACTCGGCGGAACAGGAGGCAGAAGCACCGGCAGTCTCAGCGGACACCTCAGCGGAGCAGCAGGCAGAGACACCGGCTTTCTCGGCGGACACCTCAGCAGAGCACTCGGCGGAGCAGCAGGCAGCAGAGGAAACGAGGCCTCTGTTGGGAAGTGCAGCGGTGGCTGCAAAGCTGGCGCATCGGCATGGTGCGCAAGACCTTCCGATACTCTTGTCTCTTCAGCCGCTGTCTACGAGAACACTCCCCTTCGTCGTGCTGCCAACTCTGTGGCCTTCACCCAGACAGGAAGAAGCCTTCTTGCGGGATGTGCCTCGGCTTTACTGACTTTTCAACCTGCAAAGGTGTGTGAGAATAGTTGTGACCGCCGATGGCGTGGAACATGGCGGTCACAAACTTATAGGACCTTATAGAATTCCTTAGCAGGTTCATTTTGGGCTTCCCCCGTAAAGACTCCCAGGTCATAGCCGCCGCGGGCATGTCCACAGCTGCGAAGACACTGAAGGGGCTGCAGAACCGCGGGTTTGAAGCTGTGGCATCTTTGGCTCGGGAGGAGGTTGCGATGCTTCGGCAAGCGGGGCTTGTGGCCAAGGCGGACACATGGCTCAAGAGCATTGCCCGCATCAGTGCTCTTCGGACAAACGTCGCCAACTTTGGTCGGGCTTTTCGGATCGAAGACAGACATCGCCATGCCGTCTCGTCCTCTACATCTCTGAGGCAGACCTGCTTGCCTTTTGCTGCTTCCGTACCCAGTTTTGTAGCTGCTGTGGAGCGACACCTGCCTAAGTTGGTCTTCTCGGTTTCGGTTTAGGGTGTAGGGTGGGGTTCTTTAGGGTTCAGGGTTTAGGGTTTAGTATTCAGGAAACCCTAAAACCTAAGCCCCAAACCCAGGCGATTTGCGTGATGATCATGGCCAGCTTCCCGAGAACAACTTAGTCTGCCTCTTGCTTGACGCTTTGCTCTTCCTCTCCCGCGGGCAAAACTCGTGGCTACGGCGAGATGATGTCCTGGCACAAGTACCGAGTGAGGTGGTAGACAGTTTTGATGAAGTCTTAGGCGCACTTCAGTCTTTTCAGGCGGTTGTAGTGTCGAATGATCAGCAAATTCGCCTGCAGGAAGGTGCTGAGGCCTTGTATCGGCGTCTCGATGACTAGACACTTAGTTCTTGTCATACAGCACTTGGGCTCCGACTGCTGCTCTGCAAAAACAGAACATTCTGCCTTCGGTCTGCATTGACTTGAATCCCTGTCATGTTGCGATGTGTTGGTGACAAGCTTTTATGTTCTAGCAGGCATTTTGCCTCAGGGGTGCAGGACGGTGATAGGGACTCCCTGTCAAGACGCCATGGGTGGCGGTGTCCTGCGGCACAAACATAGTCGGGGTGTGTCTGTGCCTACACGTTCAAAAGCAGCCGCCAGCCAAGTCAACAGCGCTTTCAAGCAGAACGGGCTGACGTACGCAGCTTTTCCAACGCCGCGTCAAAAAGGGTTGAGTCGTCTGAAGCAGCAATACACATATCCTGACCTTTGCGATTTTTCTCAAGACAAGGCGTACAAGTACTTATCCGACCATGGGGTCATCTCCGAGGAAAAGCCTACATGTTGGTCTTGCTTCGAGATCATGACTCCTGAGGGCCGCAACAAAGACACGACTTACAAGTGCAAGAACGCATCCTGCTACATTCGACCCCACTGCAAGTTTCCTCGTGAGTTGTACACTCCTTTGCACGCAGTGGTGCGACAGTGCGGCGATGTGGACTACAAAGCTTTTTTACAGTGTTGCTTCTTGATCGGCATCAAGACTCCTGTTGACCAGATGCCGCATTTCGTCAAGAATGTTGGTCGCTCACGTCTGGAGCAGTGGGCTCAGGAAATTCGAGTACGTGGCGAGCATGACGTTCTCTTTTTCAGAGGGTATTCTCGAGTATGACACTGCTGCAACGTCTGTGCAGCGTACAGCTTGCAAAAAGACCTTGCGAGACGCGTGCCGCCAGATTTTCACGCAGGACAGGTCTTGCTTTGTGTTTCTGGAATATATATAGTTGAAAGCACCCAAGCCCCTCAAGTAAAAGTTGGTTTAGGCCTTGGTCTAATGGATGGAATGTATCTAAACCCAAAACAGTTTCGATCAATAATTCTACGATCTAGTTTGGTTTACATGCATGGGCACCTCAATTATATAATCTTAAAGCCAATTCAGGACAAACGTGGGAAGCGTCGAGCTGCGGCCTTGGCAGTGAAGCCCTCGAAGCCGCACAAGACGAAGCATGTTCATGACAAGAAGAAGATTCATCGAGGCAGACATTTGATTTTCACCTTGAGACATTCAAACTCTGCCCTGTGCCAGAAGAGGGAGTACGTTGTGTGCCCGCTTGCCCCCAAAGTCGCCAGGCAAGGTCGTAGCAGTGGTCCTGAAAGTTTCTTCGAAACGCTTCCACACGCGGAGCGGTTCTTGAAGAAAGGATCTCACGTTGCTGCTGTAGACGGCTCCAGGGCCCTTCACAAGTGTGCGGAGGCTCTCCAGGTTCCTTCCGCGCATGGTGTTGCCCACTTGCGTAAAGTCTTTACTCCCCTCAGCACCATTCCGAAGAAAGGGTTGGATGCTGCAACTTTGAAGCTTTTGCGAGACATGTGTGCTGGTCCTGCTCCTACAGTGGCTAAGGAAACCCGTGACTCTTTCAAACTCACAGGTGGCGACAATGTCGCCGAGAGCCTGGCGGGAGTCACTAAGCACGAGCTCAGACGCCTCAGCAAGCACAGAGGGACTGTGGATAGGATCGAGCATCGCAACATTTTGGCTGCGCACTGGATTCACAAGAATCCTGGCCTGAGCAATGTCTTACGTGCACTCAAAGTGCACAAAGACAAATGCCGAGGATGTCGCAAGCCTACTGACGCTTTCGCACGGCCGCTGTGGCAGGACTAAACAAGCTCAGGTGCCTTCATGCTGACTGCCAAGCCTTCAAGCCAAAACCACGAGAACGGTTCTGGAACTCAAGCCTTACGAAGTGCTGCAAATATCAGTGAATCTGCTCCTCCGTTGTAAATACACCGTGAAACGCAGAGTTTTCCTCATGTACTCAAGTAC